TATCAAAAGAAAAAAAAGTATTAAAAACTGATTCTTATATTCTTTAAAAAAATAGTGAGTGCTGCTCCTCAATCGGTAATCGGTAATAATAAAACCATAGTGAAACTCGTTTTAAAAATCATAACAGCAATATTTATTTTATTATTGTTGACGTCATTAACAACGTCAAAAAATAAAAGTGTGAAACGATTTATTTTTAAATACTTTTTTAGTGTTGAAACTGTACATTGTTAATTGTCAACGGTCCCTATTATTCAATATCCTGATATATTATGTTGTTGATAATTCCTTTTTATAACTTACTAGTTTTTGCCTGCTACTTCGTCTACGTAAGTTTCAACATTATAAATGTATATGACCGGGCGAATTCTATTCCCCCTTAAAGACAGTATATAAGAAGATTTTTATTATTATTTTTGGTTTGATCAACTTATTTTTTATTCTTTTTAATCCAATTAAAAGTATCCTATGTCCTTTCCTTTGTTCTAAGCTATCTCCCCAACAATTTTTATAAATAGTGTAACTATCATGACTTTCTTATACATATAAATATTCTGATTTTATGTTAAAAATATTTTTAACATAAATTATTAGTTATAACACTAACTCAAAGTTTGTTCACCCCTAAGTCTTATATTTATCATAAAAAAAGTTATATTAATTATAAACTTAAATAAAAAAATATAAGATCAAAACTCAACTATGAAAAATTTTAACAAATATTTTATGTGTATTCATTGCTCTTATTTGAAGTGTAACTGCCTTTTATTGACCCCAACGAGAATCTATATAAAAACTAAAATTTGTAAAAAAATAATAATTAGATAGTCCTTTTTATAATTATTGTTAAATTCACACTAAAATATTATACATCGCTTACAATATTTCTAAAGTTTTATGACTAAATTAACAAGATGTTTGTAAATATTTGACATTTTAAAGACATACTAATATTATGTTAAAAGTTTTAAAACGAACTAATAACGTAAACCATTTCCCACTATGCTACAACATCTCTAAATTACGAAAATAGCTGTAGGTAAAAGAAATAACATTTAAAAATTCATCCAATTATAAAATACTTAAGATTTTAAAAGTAATTCTTTAAAAATCTGCACATATTCTTTCCTGCAATTAAAGAAGATTTCATTGAGACAAAATAATGAATACTCGCAAGATAGTGATTGACAGTCGCATTATCAGAGTGAACTCTTAAGGCCACCCTTACACGGAAAATACGTCAACCCTTGAAAATATGTTTAAAAGTAGTGAAAGGTGGGCCGGGTATATAAGAAGCCCGCGACCACGGCGCGCCTCCGACGACATGACGCCGCTACGAAGACTGGTATGTTCATTTACTATTATTATTAATAAAACATATTAAATTAATATTTATATATAATATATGAAAGAGAAATGCTCAAATTAATTTAAAATAATAAAAAAATACGCTATAATATTTTAAATTAATTAAATTAATATAAAAAAAGTTTTACATAGATAAGTCTTAAATATATAATTTAGTGTGTGTTAGTGTGACAAGTGTATTTAGTGTGGAGGTGTTTAGTGATAGTGTTAAGTTTCTTTGTTAGTGATGAAAGTGAATGCAAGTGGTTTGCATTGGTTCTTGTTGTGTGACAAGTCTTTTTCACAGACAATACGAGGAGATTTAATTACTCCTTTATTGTTTATGTCTATTAAAAAATTTCTAGCGTAAAAGCCTACATTTAATACTAGATGTAATCTATATATTTTCATTAATAGATAGCTTGAAGTTTGAAATAACTTAAAGATTATTATAATTGTATTAAACGGACTAAGAATTAAATTTTTAACACAGTTTTTCGTAATAATACTATTACGAACTAAACTAAACTTATATAAAATAATACTAAAAAAATCCCAGCCTGCTATTTCATTATATAGCACAGTAATTCAATGACATTATTGGCACAATCATATATAATATTTCTCATATTATACTTTATATAAATTGTTACGGCTACGCAGAGGTTGCGTGGCTCTTATTACCCATTGGTTCTGGGTTAGAATTCTGGCACAACCGCAATAAATAGTGCATTACTGACACGACTCGCTTTTACAAACAAAATGACATTGAACACATTACTTGTTGTATTAAATTTTTATCAAATATTGAGATTGGTTAAACCAGGAAAAGAAATTCAAGTAATAAAATTCGAGTCTAATATGCGACGGATAGAACTGTGCGGTCTCGCTTAGCCTAGACTTTATTTAAATGAAACTAACTATTTAGTCTAGACTTAACTATAATTCAAATTGTTTCGGATCATTATAATAAAGAAAACGCGTTTAAAGTTAAATTTAAGAGATATTCAATAGATATTTTTGTATGAAAGATATTTTCTATTATTGCTAGTTTTACACTGTAATTGTAATTCATATGTCAATTTCTTTTCCCCGGTGTGTAATAGGTTGTAATTTCATACCTCAACGCACTACCAGTGAGGTAGTGTAACCTTATTTTGTAATAAATGGAATATAGTTCGTTTCTTTCAGACATATAATACTCACAAACCCAATTATTATTATTTTGAAGTCTCTATAAATTCATAAATAGTTTTCTATATATTTTTGTTGAATTTCTTTTCGTAACATGTTTTTACCTTGACTCAATAATACATTTTGAAATTATCAAAATTCGCTACACTTTTATATCAACTTCAATATAATTTCTTATCTAAACTAATCTAGATTTATCTAGTTTAGTCTAGGCTACTTAATCGTCTAATCTAGTCTAGTTCCTTGCCTGTCTTGTAATATATTTTAAGCAAACTCGTCTGTAGTCTTCCCAATGCCATCATATTTAGCGACAAATTCGTCCTTCATGTTGTCATGACGTCATATTCTATAATATATCTAGTATATATTGTCGAGTGGTGTCGTGTCGAGTGTCAGACAGCTGAGACACCTCGTATAGTTGTCGGTGACATCGGTGAGAGGGCGCTGAACCGGACCGTGGCCTCTAAATAGTCTACTTTCCGTTTTGACGCCCTTTGTATAAATTATTTATGTAACAAAGAACTTTGATTGAAGTGTTTCATACCGTTTATTGGAACATAAGTACATATATTTATTACAAATATTTTGCTTTATTGAGGCTCCTATATATATACGAAATATATGTTTTTTCTAGTATGATATAAAGAATCACAATAAAGTAAATATAATCCATACACAATAGGTCAGCTTTTTAAACTCATTATCCGGTGAAGCAACCTTATATCCGAGTAATTTTTATTAATTAATTCCCTGTTAATTTGTTCATAGTTCAAGATTGGCTAACACTAATTAGAACAACCAAACACGTGGAGTTAATAACGCGTGAATATCCTTATACTTTCAGTATATAATCATTAAATAGAAAATGATTATCCTTTGATTTGATAAAAGGAGATCTATTTTATACTAAGATTAAAAATTACCATTGATAGTCTCTACTATGCCAAAAATAAGATGATTATTCAGTATAATTTCACACACACATACATATATATAAATATATATTTATGGTTGAAATGTAACTGACAATATTTAATCTCAATGATATTTTTTTTCTGTAATTCTATAATCCAATTATATTTTCGTACCAAACGTGCGCGTGCCAAATATTTCATGTAACTTAACAAATAGCAGAAAGCAAGGTCTCAGTTTTGTAAGTAGTGGAATGTTGGGCGTTAGGTATAATTTTTTTAAATTATGGAATTTATTATAGTCAGGAATTTTGACGAAATTTTGATAGAAAGTCAAAGATAGATAAAGCAAGGAACTTGATTCCAAACAGTGTTTCAATACTACGTTAAATGTTTGACGTATATCTATTGCGCTATGAAGCCCAGTATAAAATTAACTGTATGATATTATTCTATTTAATTATAAATACATTTTTTATACAGTAACTAGTGTTAGTAATAATTATTATTTATAATGATTTAAATATTTGTCTCCTTCACAATTCTAAGCTTCACGTTAATTATCTTCTATATCTTCTATATATATAAAAATGGATTGCTGTTCCTTAGTCTCGCTAAAACTCGAGAACAGCTGACCGGATTTATCTTATCTTAGTCTTGAAATGTTCGTGGAGGTTCAGGGAAGGTATAAAAGCTGAAAAAAATTGATTCATTACTGGGAAAACCATAAAAATAGTCCTTTTCTATTTCCCATACAAAGTTCTTTTTGACATTAGATTTGACAAATAACTAATATGTCAATCATTCTGTCGCAGTTCAAAACACGGAGATTTATTGCTAACAGGTAAACTCCAAAAATATAAATAAAAAAACGTAATAGATATTTCTTGATTATAGGGAGATACGAAGTTCGCCAAGTCTTCTAGTATTCTAATATTTATTGCGAATTCTTATGACAGTCAACTAGTGCATCTGTATTCGTTTTAATAGTGTAAATTAATGTTAATAATATTTCTGTACAGTAATTTAAATGTCCAAATACTTAACAATTGGTTTTATAATTTATAATTAGAGCCTTAGAGCATGTTTTACACAATGTTAAGTGTTTTATTATTTAATGGAAACTCTTATGAGGGGAACTAGCGCCCAATATTATAACCCACCCTCACCTTAATGTTACTTTTGAATATTACAAATACGATACAAGTGTTAGACTGGGGATTCGGTTACAAGTTGTGGAGTAGTTAACATCTAAGTGGAAGTGCTGCCCAAATATTTCTAACACTAGTTTGTTTAGAGTCCGTAAAGCCTCAAATTGAGCCATTTTATTTTTGCTATAGTAGTAAAGAAAGTGATTATTTGCTTACATACATGTGACAAGCCGGAAAAAAAACCTTGTATGTGAAAAAAATATATCTGTTCCTTAGAAATAAAACCTTAAATAGTTTAAAATATTTGTTAACATAGAAAATAATTTAGATTTTTACAAGTTAATATACATTTCAAACAGTAGTTAACTGAATGTTACATTTTAATGGACCATATATTATGTTTCAGTTGATCCTCGCGATATGCGCGTGCGCACACGCGCAGTACGCCGAGGACAGAGCTCCGAGATACATCGCCTCGGAGAATAAAGTAGCGCCGACACCAGTGCCTATACTCAAACAAATCAATAGGTAGGAAAACACGTCTTTATATACTTATATAATATGTTATTAAAATTCCTTCATATTATATATGTATTTGTGCAACTTATTGTGATAAAGGAAAATTGGACTATTTAATGGTATCAATGAATATATTATAGTTTAATTAAGGGTGTATAGTCTTTGAAACCTGAAACAAATATAATTCTAAAAGTAAAAACTATTACCACAACTAAAACTTTCTAATGGAACTAATTGAAGAATGTAGTGTAAATTTGCTCTGAAATTTTAGTCAATCAAGTGATTACTAATATTAAGAAAAACATTTACTAATAATTATTAAGAAAAACATTAATTGACAATCCTCATCAATAAGTTCCTCTCTTCTTCTTATCACACCTCGGCATATATTTTGATACTAATATAAATATATATTAAGTTTATGTTTATTCTGTTTTGTATCTGATGTCATAATTCGTTAAAGGCACAACGAAGACGGCTCCTACACGTATGGTTATGAAGCTGCCGACGGATCCTTCAAGATCGAGACCAAGTCACCCGCCGGGGAAGTTAAGGGAAAGTACGGCTACAAGGATGACACTGGCAAAGTAAGACTTATACAGGGTGACTGGTGAATTACTATCAATATTAAAGGAGCATACTCAGTACATGATTCTCATTCGAATTATGTAAAAAAAATAGGTACTTAATTTTTGACCAAATTTCTGTATAAATAAATAAAGTGTGGACTCGTTCCAAGTGTTCCAAGTGTGGACGCGTGCGGCGGCGTGCTGATACAACACCACGCCCCTGCGCGCGCGTGTGTCTGTGTGTGTATACCTAATCTGTAGGGTGTTCACACGATGCGTAATTAATTACATAACTTTTGGTTAACTTTACTTAGAAGTTTATTAATATTTATGTTATATTAATTTTTATTTCGTCATATATGGTCGTCAAATATCACGTCCTCAAATATCGATAGTAATTCACCAGTCACCCTGTATAATGCGTTCAATAATTAAGTAAACAAAACTAATTCACAGATATTCATACTGAGCAAAAAGTCTTACAATTTTTTTACTTACTTATAATATACTTACAAACACTAAGCCATTAATGAATTCTACAGACTATAACACTAAAAAAAGGTATTAAAATAAATACAAATTCATGTTCAATCTTCTTCTTTAATATCACAATAAAAGTATTTATAAATATAAATCCACTTTCACTCTTCAGGTACGTGTAATCGAGTATGGAGCCAACAAATATGGTTTCCAGCCAGCAGGAGAAGGAATTACCGTCGCTCCTCCGACCCTGGTTGATGAGTCCACCAGGGATGAGGGTTTGAGACCTGGCAAAGGGGTTAGTACAGGACGTAATACACAATAGGCAACATATTATGATCATAATAGTAATTTCTTGTACTTGTAATAAGATTTGTATAAAAAGTTTACCTGGGCGTTGGAAGCATGGGCGTTGGAAGCAAGCAACGTTCACACGATTTAAAGTATATCTCTACTAATATTATAAATGCGAAAGTAACTCTGTCTGTCTGTCTGTTACGCTTTCACGCCTAAACCACTGAACCGATTTTAATGAAATTTAGTACAGAGATAGAGTTGACCTTGAGAAAGAACATAAGATAGTTTTTATACCAGACTTTTGAAAGGTTCTCTTGGAAACGCGATATAACCGAACTCCACGCGGACGAAACTGCGGGCATATATAGGTTTGATCTACATATATCGGAGTCTTTTGCTTTTATAAAATAAAAACTAAACTAAAAGTTAACATGGACAAGCAAATCATTATACTCGCCTCCCTTACATATTTTTGTCATAAAATTAGTATAATAAATTCAAACATTAAAGTAATAGTATTATCCAACAGCAACAAGGAGGCAGATCTCAATACCGTGAAACAGATTACGATTATGAGGAGCCAGCTCCTCGGCCAGCTCCCCGGCCCGCGCCTCGCCCGTCACCTCAACCGCAGCAGTACAGGCCACCACCACCTCAACCTCAACAACAGTACAGGCCACCACCTCAACCTCAACAACAGTATAGACCAGCTCCTCAATCAGCTCCAGCTCCTCCCAGGGTAAGAAAAGAAACCAGACTATAATAAATTCTCACTCTCCTTTTATAATTCTAAATAGAAAATACCGTCAACAACAAAATAATATTCATTTCTTTAATGTACATAGATTATTTTATGACTATTCACTTAGTAGCCTTATGTCATTCTATTAACTCAATTTTCCAGCCTGCATTCTTCGCTGGAGCGTCACCGGCTCCGGCAGAGGACAACTTCTTCAGCCCTGAGCCTCAACCGAAGTACAGACCACAGCCCAAACAAGATTTCAGACCAGCTCCTCAGCCACAACACTTCGCCCCGAAGCAGACTCAAGTGGATTTCAACCAGGATTTCAACGGTCCTCCACGTTTCCCCCAAAATAACCAGATACAGCCCCAACGAAGCCAGTCCTTCTCCATGCTGGACCAACTCCTGAAGGAGTACGCTCTTCCCCAGGGAGGTTCTGCCCCCCTCCACGACATCACATTCGGTTCATACTAGTTCGATTATTCAATTAAATCTTTGTAAATATGTAGTTTATTTTAATAAAAACATTTTTTTATACTTTATTATTTATGTTAAAGGTATTTAATTTTGGTACATTATATCAAACGAACATTGAATCGACAAAAAGTTTCCCTTTAAACATTCAGAATTGAAACATCCTTACAATATTTAGAATTGTTAATTCTTTTTTAATAGTTCGTTATTAAAATAACGACAATCAAATGGACGAAATCACGAAGAAAAGCTTAAAACAAAATCTGTCTGCAAATGTAGAATAATAAAATAACATCACAAAAAATATTGTAATCTTTATTAACCACCTCACCCGCGACAGCTATCTCATCATCTCATTAACCCGATGATGACTACAAGTCATTAGGTACAAGCTAAAAGTATTTGAAACTTAATCAAAATAAACCATATTCAATATTGTTCTCTCACATATTCAATTTTTTTTATTCTAAGTACTATTTGGTTTTAATGCCAAAACTTTTAAGTGAACGCATTTAATAAAGGTGTGTGACTAAGTGTTATAAAAGTAATTATATTTTTGATATTTAAAATGTAAAATTTTAACTTGATATCAAATAATATCACTGATGCTTGATATGTAAAAATATTTTGAGGATAAAAACATTCAGTAGAAACAACTGTTAAGGCAACAAGTGAATTACAATATTTGATTTTTTCATTTTGTAATCGAAGAGTATAAGCAAAAAAAAATTATAAATGTCTGTTGATAATTTTAAAATTTAGTAATTGTTCGAACAATACAATCGATAGGATCAAATCTAACAAAGGAATTTATCATTCATTCATTCATCATCAGTCTATCAGAGCCCGCTGCTGAGCGAGGCCCCTTTCCACATGAAGATTGGAGAAGGTTTGAGCATTAATCACCAAGCGCGCTCAAAACGGATTGGCGATTTTATTTATAATTAGAAATTATTCAGGTTTCCTCACGATGTTTTCCATCACCGTCTATCAGTGGTGTCTAAATACTCTTAGAAAGTACATATGACTCGAAAAAATCACATTGGCACTTGCCAGGATCGAACCTTCGCCCTCAGGCACGAGAGTCGTTTAATCAGTAGTTTATAAATTTCCGTTACTCCTAGAACTTATTTGTATGAATCCAACTTGTTCAATGTCACAAGAAAAATGTATATGTAATATTACAACACAGAGAACTATTGTTATGTGTTAGTATATGAGGCCGTGGGATCGACTCCCATATAAATATCTTACAATATGGACTCCCAGAGAATTGTGTAACGCACACACAATGTACAATTTAACACTAGTTTACATGAGGCGAGATGTTTACAATATTATATTTATGTAACTTTGATGTTATGAGATACATTTTGGGAATCGATACATTTTATACACTGTATAGCTGTTACAAATGTATTGTATTGATTTAAAGTCTCAAAATATATTTACTAAGTCATTAAAAATGGTGATAAAGAAACAACAATTTTAATTATTATATAACAAAGCGGTAGAAGTGACGATTTTCAAAATTGCACTTACTATACTGCAATTCTCTTAATATAAAACTCTATTTTTTCTTTTTTACAAAGAAAACAAAATAATTAGATTGTATTTTGTGCCACACATTTAAAAAATAACTTTACTAAACGATGTTCAATCCATTTCCAATTCAACTTTTTACTGGGGATACAAAGGTGTGTTTCACTTCATTCTTATAAATAAAGTAAATAAAATTTTAATGATGTCGACTAGTAGTTGTGTGAGTAACACACACACACACACACACATATGTATATATATAATAACTTTCACATTTATAGTATTATAGTAATGATAGATATATGTATAATTAACTGTTACTTCTTAGGTAAGGGAAAGTCAGGTTATACATCCACTCGTTACAGTAGCAGTTCAAACAACTACTGCTGGATAAAGTTTTTGTCGGTACATGTTTATAGTACATAGAAACAAACTTCTTTTACTGGTTATGAGTATTTTAATTGTCTATTGAATAATTTCGTAAATATTAGACAATTAGAATTTCAATTCTAGTTGAATAATTAGGTATAAGAAACTTAAAAAATTAGCAACTTGGGAGGTGAAAATTATAAACGAATTCTTAATGTGATAAAACCATCATACACTATATTTATTTACTGTAGATTAAACAAAATTTAAACTTTATATCTTTCAATTCAAATAACATGGCATTTCGTGATTTCATTTTCAAAAAAAAAAACAACTCTTAATTGACAAGGACCATTTAGCAGTGTTATAGTTTATGTAAGAATGTTGGTTTGTAAATTTACAATGTCTAAGAATTTTTAACATCGCTAACTAAAACGAATAACGACAAGTACGTAGGAATAATTTAAATCTGTCTCTTGCCAAACATGTAAGTAATATAACAATCGTCATTTAGCAACGATAATGAAGGTCGGGGGTTTTGGTGAATTCTCGAACAAGACAAACAATGAAAAGTGAAGTTACGACATACTTATTACAATTACAGAACAGTTTGAACCAATTTTTAATGACAATCATGTTTCTATGTGTTTCTCAGAGAACAAAGTCGCCGGATAAATGCAATAGCTTAAATAATTTGGTTAAAAACCTTATTACGACTTGTCTCCCTATAACATTTCACATTATTTTTAATAAGTGTGTTAAGATAACGCTACTGTTTTATTGGCGCCTAAATTTTGGAAGTTATCGGTCAGATCAAATATTGAATCGAAGGAATTGGATGTATGGTGATATATAAAAACCGATGTTATCAAGAAATAACAAAATTTAAGTATTGCCGACATCTTTGCCACTTTGCTAATAATTATTTTTGATAACAATTTAATTACAAATATAAATCTTTGCTTACTTTTTGTTTTTGTCTGTAATATTATTTAATATATTCGTTCCATGAAGATGGTTCTGATAACATTTTAAACTATTCTGTGTGGGAGTGTGTCATGTGACGAACAATATACACTATGATATATCAGTCATTGTTTTTGATTATAGATCCAGTTCAAAATATACCCGGCGATCAGATTACTATAGAAGATTTTGTAATTTAACTAATTATAATATTGCTATAATTTAAAATATGACTTCAATAATAGAAACAACATTTAATAGTTTATAAAAATTTAATGATAAAACTTTTAATTCTTAGTGGGAGGTTTATATTCTATGTTAATATATACATGTTCTAGTAATCTACGTTTGTGTTGAGTATTTAATTGTTATATAATCTAGTGTCCCTGCTTTTGTTTTTTGTCGGAACCTTCTTCTCCAAGTATCTGAACGTTTCTCACCTGTTTCCGTGTGGGTGCTGCAGTGGTCAGCTCGGTAGCGGGCGCTGGTGTCGGCATGAAATCTGGACTGATAGCCAATAATAGCATTTTTAACAAGAGGGCTTCCCTCACCTCAACCGGGAGATACTCTGGAGTCTGTTCTATATGTTCCGAGGCTGAACCCTGCGCGTCATAGGGTCTGGAGTATAATCTCCTTCGAGGCAAATATCTATGGGACTCGTAATCACGATCATCGTAATTTGATACTTGTGATGAATAAAAATCTTGTCTGTACTGCGGTTGATATCTGTAGTCATACTGCTCGTCGTCTTGGTGGCGGGTATAGTGCCGTGGTTGTGTGTGATACGGCTCAGAGCGGTAATGAGCCGGCTGGTAGGCCTCCGGCATGATCTGCTCCATGAGAGCTTGAAGACGGTTCTGTCTTAGTATCAAAATATGGAGCAAGCGTTTGAAATCTCTGGTGCTCACCGGCGCTGAAATGGAATGCATTTCGTTTACAGGATCGTATCTTTGAAATAAAGGCTGTGGTCGATATGGGTTTACATATCTCGCTTCGTACCCCTGAATTGGAACGCCTCTATCATCCACTGGCACGTGAATAACTCTTGGGACTGGTCTGTAATCATTATGTCTGTATTCATAAGGACCAGACTCAGCTTCTTGATTGTTCTTGACTTGCTGTGATTCCTTTACGTACTGGGAGTCCAATATTTTATCTTGGTATTCATAGTTAAGAAATGGCCGCTGATTGCCAATGGGAATAGGGGCACCAGGGTTGTCTCTTAAATATTCCTGAGTCCTGAAAAGAACAGCAGCAGGTCGACGGTACTGGGGCTGATAGAATATTTTATCGGAACCTCTCTGTGCTGATATATGCACGACTGGTATAGGATTTGAGGTAACACTTTCATCTGGCTCATAAGTACGTCCAGTCGTGGCTTCCAATGTCGACTCCTGTTCCTCTTCTTGTTCATCGTCATATTGTTGATGAATTTGATGTTGCTGTTGCTGTTGCTGTTGTTGTTGTCTTGCCGCGAGTATTGAATGAAGGGAAACTAATTTAGGACGAATCGTGGTTGTAGTAAATAAAGGCCTGAGAGTTCCATGTGATAGATGACTCCCATACACATCAGTTGAGTCATCCCCCATTGATTGTTGAAGGTTCAGCATGTGATGATTGGCGCTCGCTCCTGATAGTTCACGTCTTGTAGCTGTTGATTTATTTATATCCATCTCTCTTTCCGTCGTGTGCTCGTAAACAGGTTTCAGAGTTTGAGACGGGGTAGTAGTAGTCTGTTTAGTAACTAAATCATCTTTGGAGGTGACAGGTGCAGTTTTCGCTGATTGAGTTCGTGATTTCAGGAGGTCTTCTCTTCTATGAATGTTCGAGCTACTTGCAGTGATTTGTTTCTGAGTTTCCGTGGTTGTGTCACTAGTTTGAGGACGCACGGAGCTCGACACGGGTCGTCGTCTCGGGATGGGTTGTATAACCGTGCCTCTAGTGGTAGTGCTGCTCCTGGTCGGATATACTACAGTGGCTAACGGTCTTCTGGTCGTCGAGGATATAGTTTTGTTAACTCTCACGACCATGGTGGGCGTGGTCGGCGTGGTACTAGTCGTTACAGTAGCCGGTGTGCTATCAGCGGACGAACTGTAAGTAACACGTTTTATTTCTCCATCATCTGACACATATCCAAAGGTTCCTTTTACGTTACCCAAAACATCTCTGCTTTCAATTTTGAATGTTCCATCATTAGCTTCATATCCAATCGTATACGATCCATCTTCGTTTAGGCGACGAATTTGTTTTACAATTTCAGCTTTGGTCGGGTCCGCCGTTTCACTGGCCTTGAGGATTTCTTTGGTGGTATTACTCGGAGGACTGGTTGTAGTCTCCGTTGTATTGGTGGCTGTGGTCGTCGCTATGGTACAAGCGAGCAGTATGAAGAGGTTCATCTCGATAGGGCAACGGAAGCCGCATGACGGCGCTACGGCTCCGCCGCGTTCGTAACTCCCCTATATAAAATATCGCCCCACTTGCGTTCCTAGCGTGCGAATAACTTACGCAAACAACGCTATTGTTGTCACTTTATTATCTGAAACGGAAAATCTTTTTTTCTATGCATCTACTTGTGTCAGACGGCGATTGTCATTGTACAAATAAGATTATGGACAGTACACTTGTAACGCATCAGTTTGACAAAAATTAGGGCGGCTAGTGTCGTATTTCATAATACATATGTCTATATTTATTTTATGCAATTGTTACTGCGGTCTATTCATCTCTACACATCCATTAGATATTTTTCACACGAAATACTTTCAATGTCAGCTTTAATTGCAGCTAGTCTTATCTCAGTGTTAAAACTAAATTTGCCTCCAAGGTTCCTCTCACTTAATTATCGCCTAAAATTATAGTTTGAAAACATGGCTGCATCTCCTGGGAAATAGGTTTTTAATAAGTTTTCTAATATTTTGTTAGCTCTTGGGTAAGAATTCAAATAATTTGCTCATTACAAAATTATGTGAATGTAATCGTTATACTAATTTTATATAATGTAAAGCAGTTTTTTAAACGCTGCTCTATGTCTTTAATGTTTGAAAAGTTTAAATTTTATGAGTTATTTTATTACTCCTGAATGCAAGTATTCATTGTAAAATATAATACAATTATTAATATTTTTCTTAAGCTCTGGCAATTGTTTTCACTTTTTAAAAGAAATTATCACTTAAATGTAACAAATAGTTATTACTTTTGGTTAGGTACTTTAAAATGTATCAGATATACCTAAATGATATTTATTATCTGTAAATATTAAAATAATAATTCTTGCAACAGCTCCACCTGGCGGTAATTAGTGAACTTATTTGACTCAATATCTCTTCTACTCACATACTTTTAATTCATAATATACTAGAAGCGTTAGCGTATAGCACAAAGCGGTCGAGAGACGGCGCTAGTGTGCTATCAAAAAACTTTAACGTAATGTATAACAAAGTTTTTGATTGAAGACGCTTATTATAACGCCGATTGAATCGCAGTGATTTTTATATGCTATTTATTTAAGTTCTGTACTGTTAAATTATAGAATACATTTTTAATTGAGTTAATTTTAAGTCCCTTATTGACATCTTCCTCTCAATTCGTATACGCATCCCGCGAAGCATTCACCTGAAAATATTAACTTTTCATTTCAATTATGTAATAAAATGTATTTTTTTTTTGCCCTAACATTCTAGCTTATCTTAAATCAGACGTACTTGTACACAGAGTAAAGACACTTCTTTTTGATAGTTATTTAGCCAGTTTGAGTAAGTCGCGGGTTTTTAAGGAAAATTACAAGTTCTGTGACATTGTTTTTAACATGTTGATTAATTATTATTAATGCCAATTCAGTATGTTTCTGAAAACATACATTCGTTTTGTTCAGAAATTTTTATTGTCTAAATTAAAAATATTTAATATAATTAATTTTGAACATAACTATAATTTGGTCTACCTATATATTCATAACAATTCTGTGTCATTTCGTTTTCACGAGCACATTTTTTCCGTATTTTATTTCAGGTTTATTAAGTTTGTAATTAATTTCTAAATACGTTTGTTCTATAATTTCCTGTCATTAGCTTCTCGTTTTCTATTGAAGCGTGACCGTACGCGTTAATAACATACGTCCTGTCTTTAAAACAATTATTAATTATGTTTCAATTAATTTATATTATTCATAATTAATATTAGTAATATTAAAGAGGTAATTGTGTTAATTAATATATCTATTTATTATTACAAGATATAGCTTCACGAAGAAGTCGTTTTGTGTTTTATTATACAATAAATGTCAATTATTTGAAATATAACGGTAATTTTAGATTTGCTTACAGTATTAAAGTAATTTGAGATACAAAATGGGATATACCGTAACAGCCCAAGTATTATTATTTCTGTTTGGGAGCACAATTTTATGAAAAAATCTCGTTTACTAAAAGCAGTCCCAGAGCGGGTAAATTTTTACGTTCCGAATCAATGAAAAAGTTATTTAAACAAGTTAAATTAGCTAAATTATAAGATAGACTGTAACACGCTAACTAATTATGCAAAGTAAACAACAATTATGGTATACATAGCTGCTTATAGTTACCGACCCGGTCTGTAATCGTACGGCTTCACTATTCCGCATTCCTTGGCTCGTAATAAAAACTAAACCGATCTTAATCATTGCGCAGTCCATCATCAAGAAGTGCTATGACCATGTGGTTATTTTATACATTGCATACATAACGTCATAATGTATATTGCAAAAATATATACACTTACACGTATTTAGTAAGCAGGGAAATAATATTATTATGGAGTCTAACTTTAGTTCCCGTATGTATATATGGAGAGGTCTTTGTATATATAATACTGTTTTTAGCAAGAATTATCTATAGTTGACGTTTGAGAATGTATGATTTAAAAATCAAATAAGTATATTATTATTACGTTCAATGAATGTTTACGTAATGAAGCATATAAAAACTGGAGGATTAGAATTTGTTCTAAATTGTATTTTCGGAAACAGTAAAAGAAAAAAAAAATGTATTAATAAAAAGTATAATTTATTAAAAAACAAATATTACAAAAAAATGGTATCTCAATTATACGTAATGTCCAAAGTGTGAACATCGTGGACTTAGTACAAAAGTGGTTCGTATTATCTTTAAGACTTACTTCTAAATAACTTTAAGGTACTGAGACACAGCAATATGTACACTCGCGGCCGAGCTCGCGGCCGCCACAGTCCACCGAACTAGATACCCTACGCCTGTACTAACTGAACCACTCCCGCAGTACTCAGTCGATCATATAATTTATCTAGTTCAGATATTTAACTAAGGTTTTAAAGCTGGATGCCGTGGCCTCTCAGGAACGCGTCGATCTGTCCCGTGGACTGATTCTCTCGCGGTACGTAGTAGTACTGGGGAGATTGAGCTCGTTGAGGTGCCTGGGCCTGCTGCGCGATCGCCAGTCTCTGGGCTTGAGCTTTAGCAGCAGCTCTGTCTCTTTGTAATTGACTTTGTTGAATTTGTTGCTGCTGGGCAAAAAGCTGTTGGGAGCTTTGGAATTGTGACTCAGACTGCTGCCTCTGGTAAAGTTCCTGAGGATTTGCTTGTTGTACTTGTTGTATTTGCTGTCTGTATATGGGAGCCTGAGCGGATGGTCCAGAGGAGATTTGTGGGGATGGTACGAAAGGTCTCTGCTGCTGTTGCTGAGATACGTAAGGCTGAAGGCGTTGGTTGAGATTGAGTTCTCCCTTAGTCTGAGGCAGAGATTGGAAAAGTTGAGTATCGTATTGACCGCTGGAAGGATCGAAGACTAATTCAGTTGAGTACAGAGGATTTCCAGAAGGAATAGCGGCGGCGGTGGGCTGAGCTCTGTTCGATGAACTCAAGGAACTAGGTGTTGAAGCAGTTTGTTGTTGACTTTCGCGATGGAATTTAGCAAACTCAGCAGCAAAATCGATCTGTCCCGGTCTGGAATTAAGAATAGCGGCCGGCGAGGGGGATGGTGAGTATTCAGGTTGGGGACTGTACTGGATTTGCGGTTTGGGTGTGACTTGGACTAGTTGTGGTCTGAAGGTAGTCGCTGGTGGGAGCGCTCTGGCAGTGGTCACTGGCACCGGTCGTGGTGTAATGGCGACCTGTTGAGCTTGGTAGGCCGGTCGTAATACTGGTCTAGCTTGTTGTGGACGTTGAACAACACGCGGTCTTATATTCTGGAGAGGTTCCTCTTCGGGTTCTTCATCAGCGTCCCTGAAGTCGTTTTGGAAGTAGGTAGTCGCTGGTCGCTGTGTGGTCGGCCTCACGGGCGGTCGGGACGGGTAGTTGGGTTCAGGGTCGTCTCTCTCTGCGGAGTCCCTGGACGGGGCTTCTTGTTCCTCGTCGTCCGGCTTGTTGGGATCGCAGGGGTTTCCTGAGACGTAGGTGAACTCTCGTTTGTTACCGTCAGGGTCGACGTAGCCGTATTTTCCACGGACGACGCAGTCAGTTCCTCTGGTCTCCTCTTTGAAAGATCCGTCCGCAGCTTCATAGCCGAAGGTAAAGCTGCCATCATCGTTAACCTAAAATTAGAGAAGAAATTCTAAGTTAATTTCATATTGCTTTACGTAGGTGTAATATAGCCATAAATGCACTTGAGGTATGTACTTGCCTTGTTGTAGTTCCTAATGGTCTGTACTGGAGGCTGCTTGGGTCCTTCCTGTATCGATTGTGAAGACTTGAGACGTGCTGGTCCACGGTGAACGGCGCGCGGCTCGTACTCCTCATCAGCACGGTTTTGTGCTTGATATAAGTTGTCATACGCGTCTTGAGAAACCAGCACCAACTGGAAAGGAAACATCGTAAATAATAAGTATCTGTAAAATTTATGATTTCAAACATTTTGGCGCGATAAACCTTGTCCTATTTGCTAATTTATGTATAGAAATTATTAAATTTTATATTTTCTATAGTTTATGTATAGAAATTATTTAATTGCTGCAAAATAAAAAGGAAAGTGAAGACGTCATATTTAAAACTATACTTTATTCTGATGAAATTCTAAATAGATGATTTTGAAGATACTTTAAATACAATACCCTGTGTAAGTCTGTATATAGGGTAAAGAAAATTAATAATATATGTACCTGTCCAGATCTTTCCTGGGACTGTGGCTGATAGTCGTAATCATCTATGGGTTGCTGCACACGAGGTCGAGCTCTGGCAGCCAGACCGGTTGACAGCACAAGACACAACACCTGCAATACATAATATTATATATTACATAAACATACATACAAATAACGCTGTGGTAATATAAAAAGTCACGATAGATTTATAATGAGTAGATAATGATAGCCCACGTATTATTTTACTTTCATTAAGTCTTCTAAATAGAAAAGATACTTTTAATACACAGAAATACACATTTTAAACTATCCGACAGGATACAACACGTATAGTATAACACATTTATCTTTAAAATTTATCTTCTTCTTCTACCTGGCAATTTCTCAGCATTAGCCAGGGTCTGCCTTACATATTGTAAATTGTTTTGGCCAATTGTTTTTACGACCGGCCGCCTGCCTGACATCAACCTTCTTTGCGTATGCATTAATCAGTGATGTCTAAATACTCTTACAAAGTACATGTGACTCAAATAAGATTTATATATAGTCCATTTAACCTATTGAATTTATACGAAATATTGTATAGAATAGTTTTTAAAACACGAACAATACATGGATGTGATTAATAGTCCGTCAAAAAGTCCTTGGCAATTGCTGTGGAACCTTAAACTTTAGCGGATGTCCTCGCCCTGACATATGAACATAATTAACAATCATTTATTTCACAGCTCATTACTTGGCTGACTCTAAAAATGTGGATAATTGGAGACGAAGAAGGTTCGAACACTGTGGAATCTTGATGATTTAAAGCATTTTATTTTTGTTATTTTTTATACAGATTAAAAATAATATATATGAACTCCAAAACTTTGTTTAATATAATCTCTGAGCAAAATTTTACTATAATAAATATTACCAGTATAAATAAAATTGACTTCTTACGAACTTTTTTGTTAAATTAATATAGTGTTGGGTAAAAGCTATGTATTAAGACAACGTAATGAATTCAGCCGGCTATGAAATACTTGCTTAGGTAAGAATGATTAGAGAAACACTATGAAGTAAGAATTATAACAGTGCAGTAGAAACTAGTTATTACACGAGAAACATTGAATAATATATGAACAGAACTATTTAATATAGGAAGAAAATACTGGGGTCAATGACCGGAAGACGAGCAAACAACCTTCGACATGTAGTACTTCTTAATATAAATAGTCATTTATTAAAATATCAAGAAGTCCCTATAAGTTGAATAAATGCAGGAATATTTTTTAATACAAGCCTTGAATACAATATATATACAATCTAAATCTACGGGTTTTATTTCGTAAAATGTTCATAATATATTTTATCATATAATAATAGAATATATTTTGTGTAATTGCTGTTACAACATCTGATCGCATTCCGGCCTAGTTGATAGTGACATAATACCTACTAGGGCGAGTATGCCTCGGGCAGAATTAGTTCTGACAAAAAAATAGTGTCTTAAGACATATGAGCTGACTTTGATACATAAGATCATAGCCACTTCTTCATCATCAGTCTATCAGAGCCCACTTCTGAATAAAGGCCTCTTTTCACATGGAGAAGGTTTGAGATTGATCACCACGCTCGCTCAAGACGGGTTGGTGATTTCAAACTTACAATTAAAATTATAAGTCCAGGTTTCCTCACGATGTTTTCCTTCATCGTCAGTCAGTAGTGTGTAGACACTCTTAGACTACTTACTTACTTACTTACGTACTTGCCAGGTTTCGAACCAGCGTCCTCGTGCATGAGAGGTGGGCCTTTAACCACTAGCCCACCACGACGTATTTATGATTGATAGTTTTTACTTCACTAGTTTAAACCTCCGTCTTTCATCCTAATATTTAAATTCAATGCATTGCCGTTGCAATATTGAATCATAGATTACGTCTAGAAAGGAGTCATTGCATGTACGGCTCTAATAAAATGTAGTCCAACAAGTTTCATTGCGTTTGTTAATGAGGCGGTAAAAAAAACTTTAAACTCATAAAAAAATGCTCGTCAACATGACGTTATGTAAATAGAGTGAGTGAACGAGTGAACGAGTGAACGAGTGAACATTATATAATGAGTGAATGAGTGAACATTATATAATGAGTGAACAGTCGTGTTAAACTGTTGAGAAAGCTAACTGTTATTGTTACGTATTTCGACACAAAATTTTATAACTCAAATGACAATAAAAACATTTTCACATTACTAATGGCTTTATTTTTATGAATTCACACATTATTATGTTATTATACTACATTATATATAAAAATTAGCTTATTGTTTTTTATAATCTATATATTAATTATTTAATTTTCGACGTATTAAATTCGGACGTACGTACGTACTCAGGTGACTGATTCTATGATAAACAACTTTTAAGATAAATAAAACCTTATTAGAAAATTCAGGCTCTATATAATACAGTATCTTATTATAATATCAAAAACCTCGCATATACCTTAAATTTTATATATTTTTCTACAAATAACATTTTTTTATTTCACAAACATTACAACAAGTCAGCGTGAAATTGAAAATTTTGTTAAGAAATCTTCTATTTGATATTTCAAACGGTTTGTTATCGAAATATGAAAAAATCTATCTTGTGAAACATTAGCTAAAAAAAACATACTTTACAAAGAAATTAAGCAATATATATAAATTCCTTTAATATATTATTATAAGATTTTAGTAAATAGTTTGATATAAAACAAAAATGACTGAATTGATTAAAATCAAACTTTACTTTAAAATTGTTTGTATCTCGGAATTAACCACGTTTAACATTATTTCATATCCTTCTTAACAACCAAATCAAGGGGAACTAACTAGTAATGTATAACTAAGTTAAATAAGAAACATAACAATAACATTCCTTGTAAAGACAAATTAACACTTGTACGTGGTCCGCGGCGTTACTCAACCACGCGAAAGTTACTGACGTGTGCGTAATATTAATAGATCTAGAAAAATATTACCTATTCGTGTATTAAAACACAGACACACACACATACACACACACACACACACACACACACACACACACACACACACACACACACACACACACAGACACACACACACACACACACACACACGCACTTCTCTGAAAAGATATTTCCAGATCACGTTGGTAAAATTAGCATTAATTACCAAATAAAGAATAACGAAAATATGTTTAATTAGTAACGCTCCTCGCTCGAGGGAAGTGTCGAAAGTAATTACGGTATGGAATGCGTTTAACGAGAGCACCTGATCTGTGGGTCAAAACGGTTTAACCCGTTCGCTGGTCATGACCCACATGGGTATAATTCGCAACACATTCGGGTCATAACTCGGGTCATAAATAATTTAGTAAAGTACCCGCAACTGATTAATAGAGCATGTTTAATGAATGAGTTATTGAGCTTCTAATAGCAACGATTCTGTAATAATATATCATACTTGTAATTATCGGCCACTCCCCACGCGAGGCTGGCGTGGGCGACAGTGTTGCTACATTATAAAATATAAAATAATAGTTCTCATAATGTTATAAGTTTTTTTTATATCATATGTATCAGTAAAGCACTTTTGACACATGACATGAAACATATGTCATATGTCAAAAGTAGTAAGTAAAAATCATGAATGTTTTGACCAGAAAACAATGAACACTATCTATTGATATATATTACCAGTGACATAGAATTTAATCCTTTGTATTATAATCAAAATCACTAATTATTTAAACAAATTTATTTCTTATAAATCATAATAATATGTGAAAGAAATTTCACAAGTGTGTCGAAAACCGAGATTCTGTATTCATACAGAGATCAAAGTAAATGACAAGTAAATAGCCTCTATCAAAACACAATCAGGCTTTCAACACACACACTACACACTACATAATACATTGAAGGTTGACGTTAAGTGTTGGCGGTTCACTTAAATAGAATCACAGGACGACCACAGACAAAATCGAAGGATAAAACGAGAGTTATAATAATATATTTCAAAAAATAACCACTAAAATACACTTATAAATATTCTCCAAGGTTTGAATGACAAAAAATCAAAGTTATACATATAATTTTAGTTTTATAATTAATCAAAGTTGCACATTATTTTCTTATCTAACTTTCGAGACTATTATTACAATATCTGAGCGGGTTACGTCACAATTAAATTATATGTTGAACCATGTACAAACAGTCATTAGCTTAACTCTGTCACTTGTCGTTAGAGTAATCTGTAGTCATCATTACTGATACATAATGATCCGAATATACTCTGTACACTTCCTTCTTCTACCTGGCAATTTCCCAGATTTAGCCAGGGTCTGCCTTACATGTTGGGAATAGTTTTGGCTAATTGTTTTTACGACTGACATCAACCCTCTTTGGGAATGCATTAATCAGTGATGACTAAATACTCTTAGAAAGGACATATGACTCGAAAAAATCACATTCTCACTTGCCAGAGCCAGGATTGAGCCCGCGCTCTCATGCGTGATAGGCGGGCCTTTTAACCACTAGGTAACCACTGAGTTTTTAACTGACTTCATACAATTCCTTATCAACATACATATGAATCAATGGCTGACTAATTATATTTAGAACTCTCGAAAATAATATGAGAATTCATTTTATATAAAAAGATTTAAGACTCGCAAATATTCATTTAAATGAAACTAATATTATTCGAATTACTACGTGTATTTTATCATTTTAACTCCATACTTTCGAAGTTTTGTTTACTTTTCAGCAACCGTGATCACGGACGAGAAATGATTGATGAAAGAATTGTTTTTATTGTATGGATCGTAGTAGTAATCGCAAATTCGTGTCCAATTTAATATTTCAATATTAATTGATGTTTGTTCTGTCTGTGGATTGTTAACTCAATTGTACTGTTTTGAAACTGATCAATTAATGGATAAATGACTTATTGATTGGCTGCTTAAAACAATAAAAATGAAATAATAAGTTGATAAACGAGATTTTGTGTTAATCGTATTTAAATAAAAGTATTTTTTTTACATTATTTTCCTATTATTCATGATCTTGATTATGGTGATGTTTCTAGAATCCCTACTAATATTATAAATGCCAAAGTAACTCTGT